TATTAGTCAGCACTGCAAAACCTTCATCAGATAGACTGCTGTATGGCTGATGAATGGTTCTTACAATAATTTCATAACCTTCTTCCTGGGAAAACTGTTGCTAGCATTATATTTGGCTGGATGAAACTAGAGAGTGTTTTGCAATTACATAAGTTTAATTACACTTTCCCTGGTAATAAAACTTTGCAGGTAATTTCTGGCTTGTTAAAATTCAAAATCAATATCACAAATGTTAATGAGGATTATTTGCAATACCAAGACAAACATGAAAAAAAAAACTTCCTCAAAATCTGCATCGCTCTTTTGTGTAATGTATGTATAACTCATTTCCTATACGAAATGTTCTGTAAATGATATATCAGTTATATAACAGTTATTTAATTATTTCCAGCTAGAACCAAATGTGATTGTGATTAGCATTTGCCACCAGTATAGAGCCTTGTCAGTCTGCACATCTTTACAATCCAACCAAACTTTTTCTACACTGTTAACCTTACTCTATTCACTTAAGCCACCCTTAACCTTACATTACAGCCATAACCTTACATTACACCCTTATCCTTACATTACACCCTAAAACTTACATTACATCCTTAAATTTACATTACACCCTTAAACTTACATTATACCTTAAACTTACATAACACCCTTAACCTAGCCTTATACCCTTAATACTTATGTTACACTCTTAACTTTACATTACACCCTTAACTAAACATTACACCCTTAATACTTATGTTATGCCCCTAACCTTATAATGCACCCTAAATGTTACATTACACCTATAAACTTACATTACACTCTTAACCTTACATTAATACATCCTCAACCCTACATTACACCTATAATACATTACACCTTTAACCTTACATTACACCCTCAACCCTACATAACACCTATAAACTTACATTACACCCTTAACCTTACATTACACCCTCAACCCTACATTACACTAATTATACATTACACCCTTAACCTTACATTACACCCTCAACCCTACATTACACCTATAAACTTACATTACACTCTTAACCTTACAACCTTACATTACACCCTCAACCCTACATTACACCCATAAACTTACATTACACCCTTAATCTTACTTTACACCCTCAACCCTAAATTACACCAATAATACATTACACCCTTAACCTTACATTACACCCTCAACCCTACATTACACCAATAATACATTACACCCTTAAGACTTATTTCAAAAGTTTAAGAACCTTAACATAATAATAATGATACTACAATGTGAATGTTTCTAGTAAATGTATTGATTATTTCCATTAATTTTATTAGTAGTCTGTATTTCAGAAATCTTAATTCAAGATACATTTTTTCCCCACAAAGATAAATAATTCCTAAATTTCAAGGCCATATCTTTTATTTTCTATTCAATTCTTTATAAACACATAATATACCATTCCAAAAAGTAAAATCTGTCTCTTCTTGGGTGTTTTATAGGCAAAAAGGCAATTTTACTCTGAAATGCATTAAATGCCTGTGTGATTTCTGGAGGTATCTTGGAGAAGGAAAAAAAACAACAATAATTACATCACCTAAAAACTTCAATATTGACTTAAATTTATGGTTGGCATAGTGCTTAAAATAAATAAACTGTGCATTGTGACAACTATATCACCTTTAGTCTTAAATTATTTTTTTTCTTTATCTAATGTCTATAAATTTTAACAGTTCTTACTAGACAAACAGCAGTTGATCATTCTATACCTGTGAAACAAGTTCATGAACTGCATTAACTGTATCATGAAACTTTCACAGTCTAGTTCATGAATACTGAGAGGAAAAATGTTCATGAACTCCAGATCCATGAACACTACATATATTATGCATGAACATAACAAATGTTCAAATCCTGATTATTGCTTTTCGACTCGAATTATTTCGATTCCATTACTCAGGCTATTTGTGGTTTGTCTTCCATTTTTTTCAAAAAGTTTTAGCGTTTACATTACATGCATTCTGATTGGATAAGTGAGAACACATAACCAATGAAAGAAATGCTTGCTTAGATAATGTTTGTTTGATGTCAGAAAGGAGATATTTTAGGGAAAATGTTGACAAAGAATCTTAATAAGGCCAGGATGAATCAAGAATCAAGCCAACTGCTCTGAATCGTGGGTCAGCAAACTTGCGTGTAATTGCTTCTCTCCTAGTGCAAACTGTCATCATACAGTACAGATGAACGCTATTCTTGGCCTGCACGGGTCACATTGGTATCAAAATCTGTTGCTGCCAGAAGGCTTAGGGTTGTGAAGACAAAATAATTAAATATTCATAAACACTTTCACAAAGATACAAAACATAGATTTTCTGTTTTTGGACGAACAAAAAAATTTGAAAACTCTCAGTTGTAATAATTCTCACACTTTATCATTTCATAAAATAACCTGTACGAAAATATCTGGTGCAGACTATGATCAAGATGATGGGTCTTGTTCTATTCCGTTGTATTTCACAAGATTAATCACTCCGTGGTTGCTGATAATGCTCCAATTTTACAAGTTCATATCTATTAAAATACTTTCTATCAATTCTTGATATGTTAAGTACACTTTTATGATATGATGTAATATTTAACGCAATTGCACTCTGTCAAAATTCTGACGGAATAATAAAGGAATAAACAAGGGTTATTCAAGAAGTATAAATAGTTAATTACTTATACTGCACAATAATTATTATCTATAAATAAATATTACATCATTTTACACTATATAGTTCACCGACAATGCATTATGTGGTTATTTAATGTTGGTACATGAACAAAGGTTGTTTTAACATAAAACTGCTATCGACCCAGCACTATGACTATGTCGGAACATTCCAAATTCTTGCTACTCTGTTGTTATATAATTTTTGAACAACCCTCATATTTAAATAAATATGCTACTTACATGTAGTACTTAGTTGATGAAAAAAGAAAGACATAATTACTTTGTAATAAATTGTATCTACTCCTTAACTTAAAAGGGAATTTTTGGTGTGAAATTTTAATGTCACTGAGTGTAAAATGATTGTTTTTATGCTATTGAACAATATATAGTTAAAAATTTTAGTTTAAAAAGAAACATTCCTTAAAATGTTTTTTTACAAATAAAGGTCTGTTTTTTTTTTCTGTAGGACTCCACTGAAGGTTTTCTGACATAAAGGGACGTGAAGCTTTATTTTTTTCAAGATTTGTGCACCATTTGATGTAGGTCTGGATTTATACACAGTATATAAACAAGTCTACAAGAATTTAATTGAATCGGCAGAATTCAAGATGTAAACTTACAAAATTCTACAAGCACACAGAGAAATTTCATGCAGGCTGAACACGAGTGCACAGTAAAAGTCACCTTAACAGTCAAATTTAATGTTGTCTTTAAATGAATGTTTAACATGGTTTAAACCGCATTATACCCCTAAAGTTTCAAACGCATTTTCACTGCTGAAATGATGTCTCTAGTCCATTTCGTAATTATTTTAGCCATGCCTTGACTAGCCCAACAAATTGTGTGCCAGGGCTTTTTTATTATTAAGATGATAGTCGCCCTTCATAATTATCAATTTGTAAAATCGGTCAGTCTCGCAGTCGAAATATTGAGACAACACCTTGATCATCACTTTCATAAAAACAATCTTAGACATATCAGTGATAAGAAAAAGTTATCACTTTAATTTCTGCTCAGTTCACTTCAATTCAACCAAACCCATTCAACTCTCATTTTGAAATGAAAATATTAATAATCTATCAGCCTTTTGAAATAAATATATATATATAATTTCGATATAATACAAAATTTCTGTTACGGGTAATTAAGCATTTGAACTGAACAAAAAATCAGAGTTTGTTTTATAATGTTTGTGGTTTTACTTGGTTATACATCCTTAAGTGGTAAGTCCCTCCCTCTGGTCAGTGACTATACAATTCTTAGTGAATTAACAAGTTATTAATGAGGATTTTTATGTAAAAAATTCGTTATTACCTACATAAATATGTCAGAACAAAAACATGTTATACTCTCAATTTTCAATGAGAGGTGGTACTACATTTGAAACTGAGTGGGCTGGCTAATTTAACTTTAATCATTATTTCGGAACGAATAATGTAATCGAATCTATATCATTGTACACATATTTTAATATGGCTAGTTATCTTTATTTTATTCCTGAATAAAGTCTATATAAGATCAAAGCACAGAAGGCGCTGAATTTGTTTGGGTCTCAGAATGTCAGAAAGGTGAAGGTTGTGAGATTATAAACCAATTTTTTTTGTATAGTGCCACCAATGCTTTCAAGTGTTTTAACTGTAGTAAATTGGCTAAAAGACTAATTGCAACACTGATATTCAATTCAATGTTTATTTGACTTAAACAATTTTTTAAAAAATGAGTTGCCTAAACTGGGATTTGAACTCCAGACCTCTCGATTCCTAAGCGAGCGTGCAAACCCCTCGGCCACGGTGAAGTTATATGTAAATGGTCTGCAGAAAACCATATTATTCTAAATTAGGGTTTGTAACTCTTATTATTTCCACGCTAGACCTGTTGTTTAACACAGATGTAAATAATCATGGAGCTTACTTTAAGCATGTATATCTATAAAGATTTAGAATAAAACAATATTAGAAATCTTCGACCATTCGGGAACAATTTTGCTTGAAAATGAATGCGTCTGTCATTTGACAATCTTTACGCAGTGATCTCCCCTATATTTTTCGGCGTTAGTGTACATATAAAGGGAAGTAACCGCTTCAAAAAAGCGGACTACTTTTGGCGTTTGCAATTAACAGCATCAGGGTCTGAAATTTCGCTACCATTATTTGTTTGGTCTGACCTCCTAAACAAATAAAAATATATTCAATATTTCAACAAAACTATGTCTTATCTAACATGCAAAAAAATTCTGAATAACTAGCCCTGACATAAACTTAAATACACATCATTCAAAAAAATATTTTCATCTTACCAATTTCTATATCAACTTACCAATCAAAGAAAGTTGAGAACTTTGGGTGGTGTTTTTTTTTTTAATTATCCAGCCAGCAAACTAATCCCATAAACTTTCTCACAGCATTTAACAATAGGTTCCAGTTAACTTTTCTTTACCCCACTCAAACACTTAAAAAACAAACAGTTAATAATATCCTTCCAACAGTTAAAGATTTAGCTGAGAAAAAAAAACCCACTTCAAACTTTCTCGCATCTGAAGCCTACAAACAGCTGCGAGAAGCTTTTTTACCAGCAGTATACTAGTACTATTTGTACCTTCGAAAACTGGTAAGAGCCACATTCCACGATTCCCTTCAAAAACATCTGTGCGAACCTCGGATGAAAAAAACACAACTTCTGCCTGCTATGGAGAGAAAAAACAAACACTTTTGATGCCTGAGAAAACTTGCAAAAGTATTTCAGAAAATGCCATTACTTTGCACCTATGCATTGTTTTAATCATGTGTCTAGAAATGCCACTGTTAATGAAAATCGGTTATCACAATTTTTGTACATTGAATCGGCTGATTAATTTTGCAGGGACTTGCAAAATACTGGTGGATTAAACAGGAATATATATATATGATATTTTGATATAAAAAATTCAACATCCCAATGATTTTTAAACCTGTAAGGAATCTTTAAAGTTACCAACAACAACTACATTATTATAACCTACAAGTGTACAGTCCTCATGACCAAACATGAAATGAACAATTCATTAACGTTAAATTACAGACCTTGACCTTTGATCATGTCACCTCAAAGTGGGTGTGGCAGTTGGGGGGCTCATCATGGTGCGAGTACCTGTCAAGCTTGGGGCTGTTGATACAATGATTTCACTGTTGAAGTTGACAAGTTAAAAGTTTACAACAAACAGATAGACCAAAAACAATATGTCTCCCTGACCTATCAATTAATCGGTGGGCATTTTTGATCCCACAAGCAAAATTTATACATCTTTATAAATGTTATACCTGCAAAATGCTCTGAGCCTCTTAGCATTCTTTTTTTTCCGAGCTTTTCATATTTTTGTACCCCAATTTGTGACCATTTTTAAGACCAATGGCATGACCTTATAACATAAGTAAGAGTTTAAATACAATTCTATATTGTAACATCCTATAACTTATAAGTAACCTGCAAAAAATGTAAGGAATAATAAAGTGGTGTTACAGAGCAGGAGAGTATTATCTTTAAAATTTATCTTCTTTTTTTTTAATTTCATTTAAAAACACTGAGATTAAGTATTAAAAGCAAATGAACTACTTTACCTGCTTTAAAATTTGGTTTCCAATCAATTATACTTGTCTATATTAAGGACATTTTAAACACTTTAAAAATATATGATTATAGTTGGGGGGGGGGGGGTCAGTGACCTAATACATAAACTACTTTGAGTTAACCAGAGACTGCATTCCATACAACATTTCTTCAATTGTAACAAAAACTACTCAATAAATGTTGGTGGCTGCCAATTTCTAGCTCTATAAATAGCTTCAGAAAGCAGATCAGCAGGTCAGAATATTTTCTGGTACAATATATTTGCTTCAGATATACTCTAAGCAGTTTAATCTCACTGAAATATCAAAGCACAGAAAAGACAAAAATGAAGGAGAAATAAGCAGTGTTATTAATAAATTTTGCTTTTTCTAGTAATCACTATTTTGAAACAATGTCTAATGTAGCAAAAGCAAAAATGACAGTCAATTTAATGGCATAAATTCAATACCTACTCCGCTGCCAATGTGAAAGTCTTTAGAAGCAAGTTTGAAGCCCTGCTGAGCGGCGGCAAATTGAAACATTTTCATTTCCTGGTCTCAGTGTACAGAATTAATTGCATAACCCTAAGTTTTAGGTGTGAAATCAAATAAACGTCACATACTAGAAATTTTATTGTAGCCGCAATGTGGAGTCTTAAAATTCAAAGTTTCAACATTCAACAGTTGATTTTTTTTACTGATATTACAGCAGCAAATTTATTGTTCACTCATGGTGGAGTCTGAAATTTCAAAGTTTTCAAATGCCATCCAAGGCATGACAGGCAAAATAATCCCACTGTTGATGCCAAACTTTATTCAACTATAAAACAAAATGGAAATTTCACTTTTTTTACCCTGGTTTATTTGACTTGCTCTACTATGAACTTGTCCATTGTTAAATGGGTTAATATGGGAGATTCTGATAACAAAATAATAAAAATTATTACTGGTACCAGCCCATACAGCTCAATTAGTCAGAAATTGTGAGACTTTTAATGTTGACATTATGGGTTCAATTCCCAGACTGGCCAACTAAAACTTTTACAATATCTCCATTGTGACTTTAAATCGAGGTCCTGTGTATGAGTGCTTAAACACTTGGTAAGCTAAAGAACTAAGAGAAGCTTCTGAAATTGGGGCATCTTTCTGTATCTTGCACTATCCTCCAAAATTCTCTTCTGGAGGACTCACCCAAAGGGGCAACCAGTGGTGGGTATAAACTCAAACACACACATTATAACTAGTCAGACTGATCAGGTGTGTGTGAGTTGACTGGTGACAAAGGCAACTGGCATTCAGAGGGTTAAAGTTTTAAGAGCCATTGCTTAACCTACTGAATTTCTTAAATGGATTTCTCAAACTTTCATTTTGGAACTGTACATTACCAATTTCAGGGATATCAAGATGAAAATTCTAAGTTAGTAAATCAAAAGTATAAAGCTGGGTCAAACTGCACAGAATAATGTGCATCCTGGCCTAGCTCTATACAGTGACTTACTACACCACCAACAAGCCCTAATATCACTAATGATTCCGACATGGTAACCCCTTAAGTAAGAAAATTGTGCCATAACAAAGTCTAACATCCCAATTTTTGTACTTTGAAACTCTGAACGCTGTAACAGTTATATATTCAATTTTTCAAGCTGTTAAAAGATGATAATCTATTTTTTGCTCTAGCTGCTATTTTTGAACAATGTACAGGTTCAAGTAAAACATCATGTCATAATAGGTTCCTAATTGCCTAGAAAATTTACAGGTAATTGGTACATACTGAGACTTTAACTTTACAAGTGTTAAATACAGAAACATCCAACAACAAAAATTCTGATATTCTACTAAGGTAACCTTTCCCACAAAGGGCCATAATAGCCCTTTAGGCTGAATAAAGGTCTGGGACTTCTTTTGTCCCATGCTCAGTGAGCATAATATTAACTCTATGAAGGAAGGTTAAAAAATAAAAACGAAATGCGAAATGCAAGGAGCCTACATACCATATAGATAATAATAAAAGTCAATAACATTGTAAATCTATTTTTAGTGCAGCAAGAGACCTTTGCAAAATCCTCCTTCTCATAAAATAGAATCAAAATTAACTTTAGCTCTTCTGAAAAAAATTATCAAAATCTGTAACTGCGATCAAAATATAGAATCACTTTCAAAATTTTAACAAAGATAAAACTTTGATTAATCACAAGGTATTATGATGCACATGTGCTGCAGTGCACCATTCATAATTTCTTACAGCAAAATTGCTGATATGCCAAAATTACCCTCAAGCATCCGTCTTTAAATAATAACTCTTGCAGGTGAACACTTTGACATATGCAGAGGGAATTTCTGTTATCAGCAGGTTGAAAAATACATGTTCGTAATTAACGCGGGTATCCCTGGTGCGTGGCAATATCATACGGGCCAAAAAGCTACTTAGCATCTTCTGAACTTTTCGGAGAAAACTTTCCAAACACTGAACACGGCTTTTGCATAATTGGACTCGTAGCACTTTGAATACTTTCTAGTACAAATATAATTTCTACAGTCTTTCTTCTTGTCTGAGTTATTTCTTTGTGATTACTCAACAGTTTTGTTGCGGCTTTTTTTTTTTTTTGGCTACATTCCTCAAGAGAATACTGGCTTTTAGCAGAGGCCTAAATAATTTACCATTTGTTACAGATTTTCTACACAATGCAGAAAGATGTTTTACATTTTTCTCTGTAGCTATATATAATCATTGTATTCTTTCTATATCTAATCTGGAATCATCTATTATTTAAGAGGGAGACTTTTACATTTTCAAAAATTAGGTTTAAACTCATTTATTCCACGAGATTCAAACTGGCAAACGTAAGTCAGCAAATCAAAATGAAAAAGGTTTTTAATGGCTTATACTTAAATTCTAAGAATACCTTGCAAGCTGAATTTTGTTTCAACTTATAACCTGCTACAACTGTGATTACCCTTTGCCACTCATATAGAGCTTTGACCAGGCTTCATATCAATGCAATCTGACCATACTTTATAATCTTGATAGCTCAATTTTTTTGTATTTAACTTTGAAGGTTATATGGGAGAAGACAATCAGTTTTAGCAACTGTTACAGTTATGCCAAAAATGTGAATTTTTCTCCTTTATGAAATATGATATTAGTTATTACCCTGTGTGATATTTACAAAACAAAAAATATAATGTGGCCTGAACATAAAATTACCCCTATCTAAACACAGGTATACACCCTCTTCAACTATCTGAAACCTCCATCATAAAACAGTGATAAAATGCATATAAAAAAACATAACTGGTACATACAATATATGTCAACTTCTTCATGTTGTTTTCAAACCTGAACTTCCTAGTGTAGCAATTATTAAAAAAAAATATCCAAGAACTTCACAAGATCGAGTATTTTCCTTTCCCATACATGTGTATGACTGTATTTATAGCTAAATAAACTGTCATTTAATAAATGCAAACCACTAGCCGCTAATACTATATGGAAATCAGATATTTAACATAATTACCAAGTACACTTCAGACCCAAAGTGCTCCCAATTATACCAAATTAATGCTATCCAGTCTATAAGTGGCTGCAGGTCAAAGTTCACTAAAATTGTCCAAATTACACTTAAACATCAGTCCTGACTGAACAATACCAAATTTGACCAAATTAAAATATACTTTCTATACAGAACGATGTAAATTAGTACAGATTTTCACTACTGATACATGGTTTACGTTATCGTTTTGTGTTGTAATCAAAATACGGTCAAACAAGTAAGTGTGCCAATAACCTCTTATGGCAATAATTATTATTTTCCCATTGACATAATTCTGCCCTTAAGGGAAAAACTTTTTGAACGATGTCAGTGTATTTAACT